AAAATATTTTATGTATCAGTGGTATTTGGGAGAAAGAAAAGAATGATTCTGTCAAGGTTTAATGATATCACAAGCGCAAATTAGAAAGCAGAAACTGCCTCCCAGTCTGCTCCTATATGTAGCAGAATTTGGCTTGCAGAAACCTGTTTGTGGAATATATAGAATAAGACTTAACTCTTGGCACTGTAGATTTTCAGAGACACTTGCTATCAGACCTGCAAGTGAACTGCCTGATGATGGGGTGTGTTTGGCATGACAGAAACCTTACAACAGCTTATGTAGGAGCCCATTACTTCACTCATTATTTCCCTTCCCAAGATTCTCCCTACAAGCTGGGGAAGACAGCAGGAGCATGGTGTCAAAAGGAGAAGAATCTTTCAGAGCAATGCGCACAGGGACTCTAGGTGATGCCCACTTGCCCAGCGATCTGGTTTTACCTTTTTTATATGTCTTTTGCTTCTGTCTGTTGCATTCAGCTTATGACAGGTCATTCCTGGATATATTCCTGTGGCTCCTGGATGGGAGGAAAGGTCAGCTGCCACTTGGCTACATCTCACTGGGGGGTGGAGAGTAAAGAGATGCTCTTACACCAGATACAAATAACATTTCTGCCTTCCCACTGCATGAGCACTTATTCAGTAGCATAAGTAACTTGCTTTACTTTTATATTAATATATTCTACAGAGGTTATGACATTATGCAAACCTTAGGACATTCAAATCCTCTCTAGAAGAGGATCAGGTCTGAGACCGTCTTAAGAACCTGAATGTGCACAAGTCCATGGGACCTGATGAAATCCATCTGCAGGTCCTGAAGGAGCTGGCGAATGAAGTTGCTAAGCCACTGTCCATCATATTTGAAAAATCATGGCAGTCAGGTGAAGTTCCTGATGACTGACCTCCCTTAAGAAGACAGGCTGAGAAAGCTGGGGCTGTTCAGCCTGGAAAAGAGAAGACTGCGTGGAGACCTCATAGCTGCCTTCCAGTATCTGAAGGGGGCCTATAAGGATGCTGGGGAGGGACTCTTCATTAGGGACTGTAGTGATAGGACAAGGGGTAATGGCTTTAAACTTAAACAGGGGAAGTTTAGGTTAGATATAAGGAAGAAGGTCTTTACAGTGAGGGTGGTGAGGCACTGGAATGGGTTGCCCAAGGAAGTTGTGAATGCTCCAACCCTGGCGGTGCTCAAGGCCAGGCTGGACAGAGCCTTGGGCAACATAGTTTAGTGTGTGTTGTCCCTGCTCATGGCAGGGGGGTTGGAACTAGATGATCTTAAGGTCCTTTCCAACTCTAACTATTCTATTATTGTGATCCACAACTGCCAATAAGGAACAGCATTTGCATAGGGAAGTTTGTTATTTCATCCATCAGTGCCTCACCTTATTTTGCATCTTGGGCTTGTTTTGTGTCACCAAGCCAGAGGCTAAATGCATTTAATATGCATGCTATTACCATGTTGACACGGAACTAAGCAGCCCTGAAATGTGTGTTTTGCTACTTTGTGGCAAACATAACCATAGTTGCAAATTAAAGACAAAGTATCAAAGGATGCAGGCCTAATCAGCAAACACTATACAGCAGGATATTTAAGTAAGTTGTCAGGTTCATAAAAATTGGGATGGATTATTAGTAGCTTGATTTTTATTTCAGAGAATTATGATATTGCCAGAGTAGGGAGAAGCAATGAAGACCTTTGAGAAGAAGATGAAGTGGCTGGCAAATAAACAAAAACTCCTGTGTCCGTGCAAGACAGGGCTACAGGCCACCTTGAAAAGACTGTGAGCCCAGCCCAGCTGTGCCAGGGGCTCAGAGCCTAACACAGGTCAACTCCTCTTGCAGCAGCACCATTAAGATGTGCATCTCCAGAGGACAGTGTAATGGCACCAGTGCAAAACCTAACACCACAATGCAGAGCTCCCCATGACTATATCCTCCTTTGGCCCTCTCAGTAGGAGGTTTTCCTCTTTGCTAAGAAATTACTTGTCCCTCACCATGTTGCTGCCATTTTAATTTTGACTGTACTTATTCATCTGATCTTAGCTCTGAAAAAAACCCACAATGTATCCCTATATGGTTTTGATTCCATCTTTAGAACTGTGACTTTATGTACACATACAGAATCAGGAATTTACAACTTCGTAAATATATGTGGTATTCAGGGATATCAGCAAGGGGATCCTCTAGAAATTCTAGATGCCACATTGCCCCACAGAGAACCCAATGCAGTGCAAATGTCAGTAAGTAAACGTAAATCACAGAGATACAGGTAAGAGCACGGCATCCTTTCTAACCTATGCAAAGTCACAAAGATATTTAAACATCAAACGCTTGCTCTTATTCTCCTACTTCACCAGCTGTAGAATGAGGAGGAAGGCATTTTGCCCCCCTCTCACAGGCTCCTTGTGGGGGTTAGAGAACTTAGTGCTTGGATGCCATGCTGTTAGGGCTACATCAGGAGAGAAAAAGAGGGAGGGGAAAAAATTCACACATTACAGGCCATTTGGCCAAATAGCTGTAAAATACTTGAGATGGTGTCTATAAGAAGCACTAGCTTTGCATTAAATCTTCCTGGAGTTACTCCAGCCAGCTTATCACAGGGAGATGAAGACCAGGCACAACTACTGTCTAACCAGAGAGCAAATGCAGCAGTGTCAGAGAGAAAGAAATGCACCTCTGATGGACCCATGGCACCCACGGCTCGATCCTAGTTCCTAAAGTTATCATCACTATTTATTTTACCCTTTGGTGTTTTGTCCCTTTCCCAATTGGCTTATGATAACTAATGTCAAAACTCTGCTCCCAGTTATATCTCTTGGGCAAAGAGATAAGATAATATGACATTTAATACAGTGTACCCCAGGCCATTCTATCTCTTCCAAACATTAAAATCACATACCCAGCAAGAAGCAATTGTTAACAATAGATGTATCTTTTATTCACAGATAAAAACTGAAGCAAGCTGTTATAATACATATTTGTACAAAGGATTTGAAAAAACCATAAAAAGGAAGATGATTAGAAAATATGATTCATTATGAAATGTGGTATTACATACACTATTAAACCTTTTCAAAAGTATTTGTTTGGCAACAGTTTATCAATAGTTTCCACACTTAAGTGGGCCTCCTTCAAAAAAGCACAAATCTCATGCAGCATGTATAAACTTGATCCTGAGGGTTTGCCTTCCTTAGAAAAACTGTAAAAAGATATACTATTTGTCTTAAAAGTTCAAAATGCAAATGCTATATTTATAGTCAAAACTATATAAAAATATGGACCTAACGTAACATTTACAAAAACATTTTGTTCCTTTTTTTGTTTGTTTTATGGGTTTGGTAATAAACATAATTCTCAATTCCTGCAGTCAGAGAGGAAAAAAGAAAACCAAAACAAACCACAGTGCCCTTTGTAGACTTCCTCACATTACGTTTACAACTCCAAAAAGACCAGGTCTGTAAGAAGTGAGGTTATTAACCAAGGAAGTAGGTAAACAGTTAATATATATCTATATATGTATATATAAAATGGAAAACAAACATTTATTTTGATCTGAAAAAGTAATAATACAAAACCTGAAGGTAAAACAATCATCTCCAAATGCCATAATACTCCTTTGCAATAGATAAATGTTCATAAAAATATCTTGAACCCTAACCAAGAAAACAATTATAATACAGGTTTAATTCTGCTACATAAAACAGCTTTTCTATGAAACAAGAAGGCAAGTTCAGGTACAAAAACATAAGTTACTTATTGCTTTTGCTACAATGTTGTTTGTTTTTTACATATAGTCATAAATACACTATACAGTATAAAATATTTCGTAGGAATACATTTTGTGGTCTGCTTAGGTTTGCTGGCTTTAATTCTAGCACCAAATACAAAAATGAAAATCAAATTAACTTTAAAGGCACTTCCATCGTATGTTTGTTTGTTTGTTAATTAACATAGAAACATAGATCTTGTTTTGTACTAAATTTCTTCACTTCCCTCTGGAAGAAGAAATACTTGATCCTACTTTTATCTTCGTACAGTTCAGGTCACATTGAGGCACCAAATGATTTATGAACATTCCCACCCCTCAGCTGTTTCTTTCTCTTACAACATTCATTGTTGCTTTTAAGTCTTCACCTTTTTTCCTTCACTTCCCAACTACTTTATCTCTTTACTTCTTCATGTCAGACAATTCAGTTTCACTTCCTTCAGTCCCTTGCAAAACCTCTCTTCAAACCTCCACTTCCCTTACTCCATCTTGTGCATCTGCTACTCCAATATCGAAACACGTCACTATCATGATATGTGACTTGCACAGATTGACACACTGTTCCAGTTCCTCTGTCACTTGTTCCAGTGCCTCCAGATACTCCTGTGACTCCTTATCAAGATCAGGATCCACTTCAACTGCCAGACAAAAAAATCAGTGAGAGAAAGAGGTCATCACAAAACATTATTCTATCACAAGGGAGCCAATAGTGTAGAGTACAGTTTTATTTCTCTTGAACTAAGAAATTTTTTTTCACTTTGTTCAGCAGATGCAAAACTCTACCTTGAGGCTTTAGTTAAGCACAGCACTCAGACTGTAAACAAATCTCATGCCTCAGTTTCCCAGCTGTGACATGGATATAGAAACATTTTATTCCTTCTTTGGAAGGAAGGATAATAAAAGGTTATGTAAATATTTAATATTAACAAGCATCACAGTCTCTACATTGTTTTGACATTCTCTTCTAATTGGTTTTGGGGAGGGGGGTGTGTCCATTTTCAGTCCTACTCAGCACTGGACAAATCCCATATCACAGAAATATGCATAGAGTCACAGAGTATTTTAGGACTCAATTCAGCAAAATATCTTAGCAAGTGCTTAACTCTCATTGGGACTGACTGCATGCTGAAGATTTGTTACATGATGTTACATTATTGCTGGTTTTGAAAAATACTTACAGTCATCTTTCCATTTATTTGGATCCATCATCAACCTGCACTTTGTCTCTTCCAACTCTTCCTTCAAAAATTCATGCTTTGCCTTTACTTCTCTGATTCGCTGCTGGCGCCTTTCTAGTATCTTCAGTTTGGTATGGAAATACATCAGACCCTTTTAAGACACAGAAAGACCATTTTATTCATTTCCCTGTTATGAGCTGACCTCCCATAGTTTGACACAAATGGTCCACCTCCCTGTTTGTAAGAGTTAGCAGGTAGATTGTTTTCTTTGGTTGTGGGGTTGGTGGCTCTTTTGGGTTTTAGGCAATTTTCTTATTGAACTTTATATTAATAGATTCTAATCTAAAGGAACAGCATGCTACATCACTTAAGCATTTGTTGCACTTCTCCGAATTAGCAAACTTCTCAATACATTCTGAAATTACTACTGCTTGTAGAGGATTTTTTTTTCCAGCAGTACAAATGATAAACACAGCCTAATAATAATGTTAGAATCATATATAATCCTCAAACACGTGAATTCTTATTTTCTTAAAAGCATTCCTACCTTCTCAACATCCTGGAAAGGCTATTATGAAAGAAATGGAAAAAAGGCATCAGAAGAATATAGGATTCTAGTCTCCAAAATAGAATTAGCTGAAGTGTTTTCCAATTACAAGTAAATTAAACTCAGTGTATCTGTGACTTAATAGAATTCTGTCATTTACATAAAGAGTTAATGACCCTGTTGTTGAGGGAGCCTGTAAGGTTTCATTGGCCAGGCTAAGATTATAAAGTCTTCTCATAAGGTATTCATTGGTAACTTCCATTTACACCATCAGTCATGTTAGACACTATTAATTTTAGGCAGTAATCATTTTCATTTTCTGTGTTAAGGGTACCCCAACATACAAATTGTAAAATTAATAATTATAGTGCTTTAATTGCAATCAATTTCCTGAATACCATTCCAGCATTCAAGCAAGAACTCTGCCTGTATACTGTAATTTAAGTTGTCTATAGTTGTTGTAAAATATGTGCTGACCTCAGTTTCGTCTTGTCTGTGTCGATGTAATCGTTCCACATCATCAATCTCATAAACTTTAATTTCAAATGGCTCTTTTAAAGTGCCTGGCAAAGGTGGTAGATCAACCCACTGGCCAGTGACACTGGGTTTTCTTCCTAGGGAGGCAGCATCTGGCAATGGAGCAGGAATCAGTCTACGACGCTGGAGACCTAGAATAACGAAGATAAACATTCCTCAGACTCCTGAGAGACTAAGAGACTGCAGAATGTACTGCAGTGAATTAAAGAAAGATCTAGGTTCTCAGGATACTTAAGAAAAAATGCTTTTCTTGATCTTCTCCTTTTAGTAAAATACCCTCAGGCTGATAATTGAGTTACTACCTTGTAAGTATGTTTCGCTTAGTTCTTGGATGGGAGTAACAGCAATTTGTCTCCCAAAGCATATGTCTAAGCATCAGTTATTTACTTTCCCCTTGCAAAATAATTAACCTGGATTAATTTTTCTTTGTTGGGCTACAATGGCATTCATTACCTTACAATGGCAATAAGAGGGTTATTTCAAACTAACACTGATAACGGCAGATGAATCTGTTAATCTCCTGCTCCTCCAGATGAAATCAAGCAAGGTTATCTAAGATCCTTCTTATTGTATTACCTCATTGCAAAGAGCAAACAGTTCCCTCCAGAACTACTACCAATGCTTTAAGGTGCTAAATACCAGCAGTTTTCAATGGACTTTGTGGGACTGGGAGGCATTCAGAAAGCAGCAACAAACCAAGCTGCAACTTGAGCCACCTCTAATGTCAAGGCATATAACCATCGATTTGCACCAGCACTCAGAAGCTCAGAACATGTTAAAACTCACCAATTCATCAACAGGAGCTCTCCCACATTTACAGACAAACAGCATACTGCCTCCTCGATGCACCTGCTAGGGCTCAAGTTTCATGACTGATGTCCTTCAAAAATGCTGGTACTCTTGTGTACAAGAGTTGGTGCTTTGGTGTCCAGTACTTTTTACAATTTTAAGTCTCTCTTAACTCTCTAAAAGGCTAACATTTACACTATATGCATCAAGGATAAGTACATGCATAGAGCTGGTCAGGCAATGTTAACAAGGCTGCAGTCCAATCCCTAGGCACATAGGAGGGCTGAAGGCCACCAGAAACAAGCTGAAGTATCATACGGTAGCTGTAAGTATAAGGAGCTTTTGGGTGACTGGTAACAATAAATTTAGTGCCTGATTTCCTGGTCTTACTGAAAACCAACTCAGACATAAGAAGTCTAACTTCTGTCTTCTTACAAAAGTAAGCACATCAAACAGACTATGCTGGTCAGGGGGCAGTGTTGCCAGATTAACTTCTGGGCTGAGACCTCTACAGGAGAGTTAAATGCAAGTTAAGGCTGTCAGGTAAACCCTGTCACACATGGAAGGGACAAAATCCCAGTAGGTAACCCCAAAGCAAGACACTGCCATAGACACCAGAATGGTTACTTCAGGTTACATATTCTTAAGAAAAATATTCCTAATTCTTATTTGAATCCTTACTTATTTCTAAGTAACAAGAACAATCACAACGGGAAAGTTTTGGAAAGGGGAAGGCTTGATTCTACACCACTTGTTTGTGTTTCTCACAACCCCAATTGATTTAGCCTGAATTACCACTACAGCCCTGCTGAAATCGCCTGCTGTAACTCCGATCCTGTAACCACTTTGGTGACAGCAGAATCCTTCTGAAAAGAACACTGAACAGATGCAGACAAACTTCATATCCTTCCATTGTACCAGCCAGGGTCATCATCCTTTCTCCAGCGATTAAGTTAAAGGATAAGGGGACAAGGTTTCCAGTGACATGTATGGAAGTAGGATCTGTCCTTAAATCCAGAAACTGCATTATTTCAACACAGTTTGGAGTAATATAAGGTACTCCAAGAATCTCTAACACTTTTCGAAGATTATGATATATTGTAGACTAATAATGGTTCTGCACCAAACACTTCTTGTAAGAAATATTTCATGAACTTCTTAGAAAACCTCATTTCACGTACAAAACACATTATTGTCTCAAAGTCTACAGCACTCCCAAAAAGTAATACATAATTTACTGATACAGAGCAATTTCAATTGGAAAAAGAAATAGTTCATCATATTACAGACCTTATAAGCATTTCCTGGGGCAAAACCAAATACAAATCCATCAGTAGGTAACGCCTTCTCAATATGTGTGCAACTTATACAGCTGTTCATATTGATTTGTAGGAAAGCTTTAAGAGGTTGATATGCTATGGAAAGAGAACTGCAGTGAATGTTGCACTAAGTTTCCAAAATGATTTGTCACCTGCTGAAGCAACTCAGTTACTTTGACCAGAAAGCACTGTAAGATCTACGTCACTTTCACTCACTTGTTTTTCTGCCAGAATTGAGCATCATGGGTGTCTCCAGGGATTGCAAGAATTACCGCTTTCCAACCAAAAGCTCGGATTCAGTGCATTGCAGATATTAGTTCCTACTGTATTCCCAACATTCAGTATGCTTAGATCGCTGAATGAAGCTGCTGCTCATTAGCTACACGGCACTGATTGCCACTGATTCTTCAAAATACTACAGGACTTCAAACTAAATCAATAAAAATGAAGACTGCAATAGCAGTCATGTGAACCTGATTTTGAAGAAGGCTACAACAAGAGGCACTTACATGAGCACCACCTGCAAAAGCATTAAGGAAAG